CATCCCAGAGAAACTTATATAATAAAAAAGTTTTACTAATTCATTGGAAAATCTGGATTTGAAACATAAGCTGCATCCTTACTTATACTGTCTTGGTCAGCAGAGCCATGGGAAAAAATCACTGTTTTTTCTGTAGTTCTCCTGGGTAAATGTCTAAATCTTAGTTACAGTGACGGAAAAAAAATATAATACCAGCCATTAAAAAAAAAACACGAAAGCATTTTTGAAGCAGTAAAAGCTGTCAGGTTGTTTTATTCATTTTTTTCCAGATCAGGTAAGTCAACTTGAAAGATTAGGAGATCTCTAGCTTTATGCCAGCTGTTTTGTGTTCCTTTAGTTATGTGTTTTTCTGTTTCTTCTTCGAACAGAAGAACTGAAAATTGGTAGAATGGAATGGTGGCTATCCATTTGAGAAGATACTGTCAGGCAACCAATATCACTTAAATATGAATTTGTTTCACTGATGATACAGCAGTCATCTTTGTGTGCACAGAATGCTGTCTGCTTGTGAGGTGAAGTACGAGGGGCTGAGCCTTACTGAACTGAGATCTCGCCCTCCCCGTGCTTCCAAACTTGGGTTTGGTTACCATGTCACCCACCTCACCTCTGCCATTGCCCTCGCCCAGGCCTGTTTCTCCTGTTGAGCTTTTGTACCTTGAGTACTGTTGCCTGTTTTAGACAAGTTGTGGCAGATCTTCAGGAAGCTTGTGACAGTGTCGGGGTTTCTGAGTGTTGGAGGGAGTTGGAACTTGCATTAGATTTTCTGAACTTCCAGTGAGCAAAAGTTATGCGACTTTGTTATGCTGGAATAAATCCTTTGCAACGTTGTGTGTTACATTTACATTAATATAACCTTGGTCAGCTCATTTGATTGCCACATATACTGTTCACTGATAATGTAAAAATCAGCTAAAATCCTTCTTTATTAAATACAGAGGGCTACTAACAAAAGAAAGCCCTGTAAGGTTAAATAGAACTGCTTTAAGACTTTTTATTTTCACAAGAACATTTTTTTTTTTAAAAGGCATAATATTTTACCAAGAGAACACCACCAATGTTCAAATCCTGTCGTCTCTTTAAGCAGTAAAATTGACATTTATCCAGACCGATCACTTGCATTTTCTGGGTGCAGAAGCGTTTCCCGGGCCACGAGGTGCAGACTAGTCTAGTTGGGTGTGATAGCAGGAGTACTTGAATGTGACTTCAAGATATATCCAAGAGAAGCAGTTGCGTTGAACAGAAATTTCAGGATAGTTTAAGGTAAATGTTAATAAGTGGGATTTGACCAGGACACAGTTTTTGACAGAAGTATATCTACAAATCATACATGCATATATTACACAAATTTTGCTCATTAATTGTGTTATTCCATTGCTGCTCAATCCTAAAACAAGCTGGTGAGTTTAAGTTTGATTCTCAGGTTTTTAACATCCACATTTTGCTTTTCAGAAAAATTCAGTAAGTTCGGTGTCATACGAGAGGCAGATTGTCAGGCGGAGCCTCTGGCCCACGGCACCTGCTCTTCCCATTCCTCCCCAGAGCAGTGGAGAGCTCCCACACCTCCTGCCAGGGCGGGAGCTCTCCTTTGCTCTGTAGAGTTATCCCAGAAGCTTAATTTCCTCAGTATGTAGTTGCAGTGGACATTATGATAAACTGTTGCTGAGTGTACCTGTGAGAGCATCGTAATTTTTCATGCTGACAGTCATGCCACATTAAAAAATACCTTGATTATTTTGTTTCTGAAACCTGTCTTTGACAAACTGAATGTCTTGATTTTTTTTTTCTCAATTATTGATACTTTTTGACTTTATTGACAGTTTGCTATTCTTTATTTTGAGTGGGCCCAAACCACTTTCATTTTTCAGAATTGCCATTGCCAGACATTTCCTCAGATGACTCAGTGTGATTTTAAGTGGGTTGAAATACCATATTTTGCATTAAAACTCTTTTTAATGAAGTTTGGATAAGAATGTCATGTACTTGTTGAAGGCAGACTGTATGAATTATACTTGTTTCTTCCGTTATGGTTTTCAGTAGCCAAAGGAGTGACTACGTTCATGAGTACTGCATCTATGCTTAATGAAGAAACAATTTAATACTTTCTTTGCTGGATCAGACATTCTCAGAATGAGCCTTTATTGGTCCAGGCTGTTCTTTGCAGCCTGTCAGTTGGCATTTTTCAGCAATGTGGAAATACAAGCAAAGTATGGGTTGGGTTGGGACGGACCTTCAAACATCATCTCGTCCAACCTCCCTGCCATGGGCAGGGACACCTTCCACCAGACCAGGTTGCTCACAGCCCCGTCCAACCTGGCCTGGAACACTGCCAGGGAGGGGGCAGCCACAGCTTCTCTGGGCAACCTGTTCCGGTGCCTCATCACCCTCAGAGTGAAGAATTTCTTCCTTAAATCTAGTGTAAACCTACTGTCTTTCAGTTTAAAAGAAACGCCCCTTGTCCTGTCACTACAGGCGGTGGTGAAAAGTCTCTGTCTTATAAGCCACTCGGAAGTATTAAAAGGCCACCGTAAGGTGTCCCCGCAGCCTTCTCTTCTCCAGGCTTAACAACCCCAACTCTCTCAGCCTTTCTTCATATACATGTGCTTCTTTTTCTTAAGATACCCTAGGTTGCTTAATACTGAAAACTTCTTAGAACCTAATTGTCTCTGTGGTATGCAAATGCTAAATTATGTATTTTGCTGTATTTCATGCTCCATGAGTGGAATAGTATTTCATATTCTTTCAGCATATTTTATGCTGGCTTCTTAAAATATCTGTAGTCTGGCTTCTTCATAATAAAGTAATGCTGTGGAAAAAATACATACAGTGTCACTGTCACTGTTAATTAAATACAAAAATATGTTTAAACCCCATGCTTTAAACTGCTTCTGTTTTAAATTCTCTTTAAGAGGAGCTCACCTACTAGTTGTCCCTACCTGGCTGCTGTCTCTGTTGTCTCTCAGTGCAAACCCTTGGTACCTCAGTTTCTGCCTGCCAGCTGCTGGCACTCGGCAACCGGGGGACAGCCTGGCAGCTGAAGCAGTAAAAAGGCTGTTCCGTTTGGGACACATCCAAAGCGCTGACGTGCACTGCCAAAGATCATGCGCTCGGTTTTAGGCTGGTAGGCTGTGCACAAACCTTGCTGTGAGTGTCGGTAGCCTTTTGTATAATGGTCTTGAGATATTTTTTTTGTTTCCTGTAATAGTTAGCCTTCCCTTAGTTAACATGGGTAACTGCACGTGATGCTGATGTAGGGGGACTTGTCTGGGAAACCTCAGTAACAGCTGTCTGCCTTGTCCACGACTATTCTGTCTTCATTGGGCTGTGTTGTATACATTCTCAGTTCTTTCATGGTTACCCTTTTGCTTCCTGGGGTGTTCACTCCTGAATTAGCTCATCCTGGTGTGTGCCACTCTTCTGCTGAAGGCAAGGGTCCAGGCTTGTCGGCTGTGAAGAAGCAGTGCTGAAGCCTTTTATGGTCCAGGCTGGTTTTCTTATTATTCCTCGCTAATGAACTGCTAAACCTGAATGTATATGAAAGAGAAAAACTTTTTCAGTGGAGCTCGGACACTGCCGCCTGTGACGTGACCTCGTGGGCTCAGCAGGGCATTTAATTGACACCTCCCTCTGGCAGCAGCAAATTTTCGCATAATCTGTGTGCTCTTTGGGTTGTGGGAAGTGAAATTCTCAAACTTTGAGCTGTTGTTCGTAGCTGTCAAGAAGTGCAAAGGAGGAAAAGAACTTTCACAGTACATTGAAATCAAAATTCCTCTGTGGGAAGGCTGTAGTAACTTCTCTCCCAGTGTCACAAAAGTGAGCAAAGCCCCGGAGTCTGGACATGCTACACAGCCTACAGTCAGCTGGTGATGCCAGACTTTGTAAATGGAGGAACTGCAGTTCATTTTCACCATATCTTTATGCTTAACACTGTAAGGGAATTTGGACAGTGTTTCTCCTTTGTAGTTAGATAATTACACGAGTGGGAAGGACATACATGGTTTGAGTTGAATGTGGAGGATGGATTAAGGGATCCTGTTCCTATGTAGTTGCTTAAAGAGGTAGCTGGTATTTGCACTTTTTCGAGCAAGTAGGCAGGAGTAAGAACTTGTTACTTAACCTTACTCATGAGGTACCATTCTTGAATTTCTTGTCTGCAGTTCTTATGTTTAGTCTGCTCTTCAGTTTGGTTGAGTTCTTTATTAGGCATTAATGCATGATGCACATGAGGGCACCTAGCAGGACAAGTGATGTAGCAGAACTTACTAAAGGGGAAGGAAAAAGGAGATGCACAAAATACAAATGATGCTGGTTGTTCTGAAGTACAAGATTGGAGAGGGTAACTAATGACTATCACAAGTTTAGGTTAGAGAAATACATGTTTGTCCATACTCAGTAGTAGGTTCAAATTACAAAGGCCCTGGGTAAATTTTTCTGACTAGGCATATGCATTTTCAAATCTAGTCTAGAACTTTGTTCTCTCATACTACTGGTGCGTTGGTTTCTCTCAAATCATATTGTGACCCCCTTTGGAATAGTTAAGGGAGTAGTCATGTGATAGTCATGGGAGGTGTCAGGATAAAGCTTTTCAGGAGTGGTTTCAATGATGTGACATGATGCCCTTTATGATTAAATATTGAGGTTATTAGTCTAGTACATCTTGTATGTAAAGTCAAACTCTGTTAAGGACACCTATGTTTTTCCTCATGCCTTTGGTGCAATTAATAATGTAAAATTATTTTACTCTCATTGTTCAGTATTGAGAAACTCTGTGACCGTGCAATATATTTTTCATAACTGTGCTTGTATAACTCATTTAAGATTTATTCAGTGTGAGTAATTTATATTGTGTCTTGGATTAACAACTCCAGTGAAGAAGCTGGAATGTGCTGAAAAAAATAGTTAGCTGAAAGGAGCTCTTGAAGAAATCTTTATGTATTTTTGTATGCAATGCATATTAATTTTTTTCTTTATTTTCGTGTCTTACACTTTCTCTTTTTCAGCTGTCAAACGTTTGATGAAAGAGGCTGCAGAACTGAAGGATCCTACAGATCATTATCACGCACAGCCTTTGGAGGTTTGTTTCTCTATGTGTTTGCAAGAGCTTGTAATTAGGCTGTTATTAGTATATACTCTAAGTTCTCTGTGTGCATATGTATTTGAAATGTACAAATGTAGATACTAGCAGACCATTTAAAATTGATTCTGTTCATTTTTTCCTATGATGGAAGGTTGTTAGTGAAAGTACAGAAGACCAATTTTACTTTAAATTATTTACATAATTTTATTGCATAGGTATAATATGTTTATTCCCGCTCCTCCTTCCTGAGACTACATAAATGCATTATGTTTAAGTTACGCTTTTTACACCCAAACCTGGCATCATGAGTTGCTGAGTTGCTCAATAAAACACTTAAGCCTAGCTGATCTATGAGGATTCACTGTTTTGCGTACAAAAAAAACTGTGAAAAATGTAAATATGTGGCATTCTGGATGCGTTGTAAGAGAGAATGCTTAGATTCCACTTTAGAAGACTTCAAGAACCTACTATTTAACAGTCAGTTAAGTTTTTGGGCTGAGAGGACAGTGAAGTTCTGGTGGTTAGAAGCTTAAACAGAAACCCTTTCTCATTTGTTTGGAATAATAAAAAAGGCAATGTTCTGTAATATTCAGTTGGGGGCTTTGATTTAGCTGTTCACAGAAATGTGTAGCACACTTAACATGCTTACAGAAAGTAGCATGTTCCTAGGTGCTGTAAAATATACATTATCGACTAGTTTTTGTCTGTGCCTTGTGTTTCCCCTTCCTGTGGTGAAATGTAAGGTTTAATTCATGCTATTATTTGTAACTTAAATGAAGGTCGTATTTCTGGATTAGGACAGTGACTCGCTGGGAAGAGAACAGTGGCAGATGAAATGCTGGAAATGTTGACGGTTACCTCCCATCCTTGATAAAATTGTAAATAGGTGGGCAGTCACAGCCCTGTGATACCAGTGTTCAGCATTAGTTGAGAGATGACAGCAAGCCTCATTTGGACTCCTGTCCAAACAGTAGGAATTGTTCTGCTTGTAAATATTCAGGAAGTTGTGGGCATCAGGAGATCTGATACACAGAGCCAAACACACAACCCCAAAGAAATAATGCTTAAAGAGAAGTTACTAATATGTCCAATAAAAATAATATTCCAAATTTCAAAGTGTACCTGTTGTGCAGTAAGGCACAGTAGCTGTTTCATAATTGTTTATTGTGGTGAGTTGACCCTGGCTGGATGCCGGCTGCCCACCAAAGCCGTGCTATCACTCCTTCTCCTAAGCTGGACAGGGGAGAGAAAGTACAATGAAAGGCTCGTGGGTCAAGATAAGGACAGAGAGAGACCATTCACCAGTTACTGTCACAGGCAAAATAGACTCAACTTCGGGAAATTATTACCAATCAAGATCAAAGTAGGGTAATGAGCAATAAAAATTAAATCTTAAAACGCCTTCCTCCCACCCCTCCATTCTTCCCAGGCTCAACTTCTCTCCTGATTTTCTCTGCCTTCTCCCCCGAGCGGCGCAGGGGGACAGGGAATGGGGGTTATGGTCAGTTCATCACACGCTGTCTCTGCTGCACCTTCCTCCTCAGGGGGAGGACTCCTCACACTCTGCCTCTGCTGCAGCATGGGCCCCCTCCCATGGGAGACAGTCTTCCACGAACTGTTCCAACGTGGGTCCTTCCCACGGGCTGCAGCTCTTCACGAACTGCTCCGGTGTGGGTCCCTTCCATGGAGTGCAGTCCTTCAGGAACAGGCTGCTCCAGCGTGGTTCCCCCTGGCATCACAGCCTCCTTTGGGCATCCACGGGCTGCAGGTGGAGATCTGCTCCGCTGTGGACCTCCATGAGCTGCAGGGGCACAGCCTGCCTCACCTGGTCTTCTCCATGGGCTGCAGGGGAATCTCTGCTCCAGCATGTGGAGCGCATCCTCCCCCTCCTTCTTCACTGACCTTGGTGTCTGCAGGGTTGTTCCTCTCACATGTTCTCAATCCTCTCTTCCAGCTGCAATTGCGCAGTTTATTTTTTCTTTTTCCCCCTTAAATATGTTATCACCGAGGCGCTACCACTGTTGCTGATGGGCTCGGCCTTGGCCAGCGACAGGTCCATCTTGGAGCTGGTGGCATTGGTTCTGTCGGACACAGATGAAGCTTCTGGCAGCTTCTCACAGAAGCCACCCCTTGTAGACCTCCTGCTACCAAAACCTTTGCCATGCAAACCCAGTACATTTATGGAGAAGCAAAAGAGGATGTGAATTCTCTGAGGTGTAAGTTAAGTCGCTGTGTTGACTTGAGCATGGAAGGGGCTTTGGGGAGGCTGTCAGTAATGTTTTTTCCTGGGAAGGTTCTCCCCTCGGTCGTCCAGAAATTATTATTCGCTGGGGCAAAGACCCAGTTTTCCCTTAGTTGACTTGGTTTTCCATCTGTCAGGTAATAAAACTCTTGTCATAATTGATACAACTAGACTGAAGAGCTTGAATAATGAATTTGAGGGTTTCAACAAAGCCATTGTGTAAGAAAATTACCAGAAAGCTACAATATTTTATCTTTTTCACCAGAATCATAGAACTGTGTTGGTTGTCTTACTCCCCACTTGATTTTGACTTCTTAAAAGTTCTGCTGTGCACTGTTTCTTTAGCCTGTCCTTATTCAAGGAAATGGTATTTAATTGTGTACTTCTTTGACACACTCTTTTTTTTTTCTTCTTCCTTTGGTGGGGGCATTTTAGGATAATCTTTTTGAATGGCACTTTACTGTTAGAGGCCCTCCAGATTCAGATTTTGATGGAGGGGTTTATCACGGGCGAATAGTACTACCACCTGAATATCCCATGAAACCACCCAGCATTATTTTGCTGACGGTAAGCATGTTTAATAGTTTTTCCTTTTTACGTGATGGATTTAATTGTAGGTGTCTGAGGGAGGTTTGTGGCATTAAGGCAATCTTACTTGTATAAGAAAGGTGGCATAGTACAGTTAATGCTGCCAAGTTAAGACCAGAAGTCTTCCAAGGTGACTTTTGTATTCTGTAATTACATGAAGCTTTGTACCTAATAAATGGAAGTTTTCTCCAGAAGTAATCACATTGCTGGTGTGGTTGTCTAACCTTCTGTTCTCTCCATGGGCCTGCTTGGTCTCTGTTGGAGACTATGGTCACATGCAGGAAGGCAGACCTGTGGTTTGGGGCAAAGGCCCACATTTGTGCGTAGTTTCACAGAGCTACAGCTTTTCAGGCTCTTTGCGTGTGGTGGGTGGGTTACAGAAGCAGCAGGCAAGCCACCCCATCACACTGGGACATGTGAGGGGTCGGCTAAGCGTTTCTTCATGCATGTATAGAGGCAGATGGGAGACTTCTTTGTTCAGATAGCTGAATGCCAATTTTGTGAGGTTGGCCGTAATATAATTATCAAGTATTGTTTGCATATAGATTTGATTGATTATGATATTTACAACTTGTACCAAAACCCAAGAGTTAACTTCCAGCATATTTTATTATATCCTCCTTCTTCCTTTGAAGGCCAATGGCAGGTTTGAAGTGGGGAAGAAAATTTGTTTAAGCATCTCAGGGCATCATCCTGAAACATGGCAGCCTTCATGGAGTAGTAAGTAACAATTATTTGGAAAATATTACCCCATCAAACAGCTGGATCTTTAAAATGAAAAAAAAATCTCACAAAGAATGTTTATAGTAGAAAAGGAGATGGATTTTGTGGGAGTAAATGTGTAGGAGAATTTGAGAAATGTGGAGTCCTGAAAGAGCAACATAGGAGGATTTGGGAATGGTAATAAATAAAGGCACGGTGAAGGGGTTGAGAAACTGAGGGGTGTTGCTAAGCTCTTACTTATTTGGATGCACAAATGTTAAGAATTCTGAGACTACTTAGAATACTCTTTGGTGTTTTTTTTAATTTTTCTTATGAAAATATTTTAAATACTGTTACTTTACCCTGTTTTTGTATAATCACTAAAACCAGCTTGAATATTGATAGAGAGGAGTGTGGTTAGCTTTTAAATCTGATGCTGTACTCCTGAGCACTCAAGAGGAAAGACAACGTGGTCTGAGTTCAGAATAACTGAAGGTTTTCCACCTTTTTCTTTTTTATTAAGGTTCGTTATCACAGAAATTGAGAATTGGCACAATTCATCCAAGGCAATATTTCTGTGTTTATGTAATTTTAGCTTTGCTGAGTACAGTACATCAGTTATTTCTTTGGGTATCAGTTGCGCTTTTAAAATGCCTTGATAAGATTTTGGGAATTTTCTAGCAGACCACTCTTCAACTTTTGTAAAGTCTCTTACATTTTTTTAAAGAGCAGAAAATACTGTCTTCAAAATAGGAGCTAAAAGTATCCTATCTCTATTTTGTGGTACTTATCTTCATGTGATATTTCTTTACCAAATCTGCCAGCAAAGTGTCTTGAATTCTTAAATTTCAGGGCTATGTAAAACAAAATCGAAGAATAGATACTGTCAGAAGAAATGTTTTAGATGACAATTCTGTTATGAGCTGTTATTAGTATTTAAGTAAGCTCCTTCCCCAACATGGTGACATAAAAGGAACAAATTCTGCAGTACATTGCATAAAAGAAGACCACTGAGCTGGTGTGCACTAAACTGCAGAATTTGTGTCTAATAGAAAACACGCACAAAAAGAAGAATGCCTTATGAATCCTCCTCCCCCTTCCCCCATGCCTTATCTTTTTTTCTGCAGAACCCATTTTTAAAGTCTGGAGCTCTAATATGTGTGTTGATGCACCATTTTTGTGACAGGTTATCTTTTCTTCTCTGTGTTGGCTGATGGAAGAATAAGGCTTTACCTTTCATTTATAATGTAAAGTTTAAAAAATGAAGAAAGCCTTGCTGTGTACCAGAAAACTCAGTGCTGCTTGTATGAAATTCAGACTACTCCTATGGACAAAATGAAGTTTTGCAGGCAGAACTACAACTTTCCTGAGTGTAGAGTGAGATGAAATAACAGTTATATCTGCAACCTTGTTTGTATCTCTGTTTTCCCTTTTTAGTAAGAACAGCTTTACTGGCCATTATTGGATTTATGCCAACCAAAGGTGAAGGAGCAATAGGATCTCTGGATTATACACCAGAAGAAAGAAGAGCTCTTGCAAAGAAGTAAGCACTAAGTTTATTGCTGTAGATACATATGTATGTATTCTCTTTAGGGTAGGGCATTGAGTAGAAAGTCAGGCACTTCAGTCAGTTCTTTTGCATTTATTCCAAATATAAAGAAAAGTTATAAGCCTTGTATGTACATAGATTTTTTTTCCTAAACATTGGGCAAACTTGGAACTTACAGTCAAACAAAATACTTTGAGAGGGCTATGTTCCTTCCAGCACTGTGTGGTCAAATTAGAGGCTTGTCTGAAATTTAGGCTGAGAGACGTAATTAACATTCTGATACAGTGGTAATTGTGTGGAGGGAAAATTGGTGTGATGGAACTGATAGTAAGTTTAAGTGGGGAAGAAAACAACCAAAACAATGATGCATCATTTCTGTTATGTAAATAATAATAGTGGAACAACTACGAAAAAGTCTGAAGCAACTGCTTCTGAATGATTTTTTTTTTTTTTAGGAAATTAACTTAGTTATATTTATGACTATGATGAAATTATTAGCTCAGTGGACAAGGGGAGAGCAGTGGATGTTGTTTATCTTGACTTTAGCAAGGCTTTTGGTGCTGTCTTCCTTACTATCCTCATGGAGAAACTTGTGAGGTACAGCCTAGGGAAGTGAGGACAGTAAGGTGGATTAGGAACTGGCTGAGCTGCCTGGCTCAGAGGATCGTGGTAAACAGCACAAAGCCCGGTCACTGCTGGTGTGCTCCAGGGGTCGTACGGAGGCCAGTTGTATTCAGTGTCTTTAATGACCTGGTTGACGGGGCAGAGTGCACCCTCCCCAAGCCTGCAGATGATACGGAACTGGGAGGAGTGGTTGATACAACAAAAGGTTGTGCTGCCATCCAGAGGAACCTCAACGGTCTGGAGGAATCTCATCAAGTTCAGCAAAGAGGAGAGCAAAGTCTTGCCCCTGGGGAGGAATGACTCCAGCCGACCACCTGGAAGGGAGCTTGGAAGGGGAGGACCTGGGAGTCCTGGTGGACACCAAGCTGATCATGAGGCGGCAATGTGCCTGTGCAGCAAGGGCAGCTCATGGTGTCTTGGGCTAGAAAGAGCATTGCCAGCAGGTCGAGGGAAGTGATACCTCCTCTGTACTTGGCACTGGTGAGACATCTGGAGTGCTGGATCCAGGTCAGAGTGCCAGAAAGATACGTTCTTACTGGAGCAAATCCAGTGCAGTGCCCTGAAGGTGACTGAGGGGCTGGAACATGTTTCGTGGAAGGAGAGGCTAAGAGAGCCGGCAGTGTGTTCAGCCTGGAGAAGAGAAGGCTCAGGGGATCTTACCCATGTGTACAAAAATCTGAAAGGAAGGTGTAAAGACGGCACAGTGAGGTTCTTCTCAGTGGCATCCAGTGACAGGACAAGAGGCAATGGGCACAAACTGAAATCGACAAAATTTAGTCTGAATGCAAGAAAACACTTTTTTACTGTGTAGATAGTCAGAGCACTAGCACAGATTGCCCAGAGAGGTGGTGGAGTCTCTTTCCTCTGAGGTATTAAAAATGTGACTGGAAACAGGCCTGAGCAACATGCTCTGCTTGACCCTGCTTTGAGCAAGGAGACTGGACGAAATAATCTCCAGAGGTCCCTCCTAACCTCAACTATTCTGTGATAATCTTTAAATGAAATCTTAGACCTGTGGGTTGGTTTTTTTTTTTCCTTGCCCCCATCTGGGAAGGAAAAAATACTTGAAAGACCATATCCCTATCTTATAAGCAAAATTACTGTATTCCCAGTTGTAACTAGTTCCTTATTTTGCAGGCAGATGTGAGCTTATTCTGCCTGTGCTCTGAGCCAGGTGGAAGCTGCAACTTTCCTGTTAGCACGGCACTGAGTCAAAGCTAATAAAAGGTTTAGTGAGGTGGTCTTGATACTCTATTATCAAGGCTGTGTGGTTTCTCGCTGTGCTGGAGAGCTGCCTGCAGTGTCCACTGTAGACAAATTAAGTGTGCAAGAGAGGAAAGGTAATGCTGTCACAGAAGCTGAAATTCCTGGATTTGAGGTGCAAGGTACTGGGTCCAGTATAATATTTGTAATAGTAGTTAGATTTTTATAACTTACAATTTTTATTTGCTGCAGGTATGAAGTAAGTTTTAAAATGGTAGCAAATTATTCATAAGGTATAGATAATAGTAATCAGTTGTTAATATTTTTCTAAATGATATTAGAGAGTATGTATTTGTATTATACATAATTCTCAACATGTTTTCAGGAAAGTGTGATTTGTGGCAGGGGAAAGTACTTTTAAGCTACTGATCTTGACACCACTTGTCTTTCTGTGGATTGTTTTGCGAATAGTTTGTTTAAACAAGCTCAGGAGAACATTATGAGAACGTGCTGTTCTGAGCTGTGTCATTTGTGGCCAGGTCACAAGACTTCTGTTGTGAAATGTGTGGCACAACTATGAAGACAGCCCTCTTACCACTAACGTCGGGAAGCGTGTCAAGCCAGGCGGACAAGGAGGCTAAAGAACTTGCCAGACAAATTAGCTTCAAGGTGAAGTCACAGTTTAAACTTTCATCTCTGTTACGTAGAATTAACATACAAAAAAAAAGAGGAAAAACTTGTAAATTGCAGAAACATTCATCATTTCATAAACCTTCATCAGTCACTACATGGAAACCTGTTTCTTTGGGACAGTTTGAAAGAGAAAAATAGGAGTACCAGTTAATAAATTGTGCATCTCAAGCACTGATTGGTTATTTTTAATTTCAGTGGTGAGCACTGTGGTAAGAACTGCCTAACTATGTTGATTTTACTCCCATATTTTCAGTCACTAATAACTTGATTAAATTCTCCAGAATTACTCTTATCAGAAAAGTGTTAGGAAAGTGTGGGCAAAGCTAACCTAAATTTTTTTTCCTTTGTGATTTTTTTTTTTTCTTCTTCTTTTGGCCTATGGTAGGAATAAAACATATTCCTACTGAAAAATTGTTGCAAATTCTTTTGAACTACTCTGCAGCTGAAGATACTGAAAGTTGAACTCTGGTATGGATGTTGCTGTTACCCAAAAATGTGTTCTCTAGCTTGTGTTTCAGTGAAAGTAAGGTTTGTTTAGCCAAATATGTGCCTTAAAAAATTGCATGTCTTGCATGCACAGTGTTGTTTTTCACTGGATTTTCCACTAAACTCTTAAATTGGCCACAAAGGAAGACTGCTGTGCATGAGGGCAGGGAACTACAGTGAAATATATTATGACAGTGTGGCACTGGTGCAGAATACAGCCTCAGTAAGGTCAGGGATGCTAATATGTCCCCTTTTATGACCAATGTTCTCCTAACACTGTCCTAAAGACTTCCTTTTTTTTTTTTTTTTTGTATGCCATGAGAGTAAAGATTGCCTCCTGCTGAGCATGGCTGCTCAGGACCTGCATATATTCCTGTGCCATCTTACATCTAGACATGTTGACATGATAGGCTCTATGTGTAATAACACGAAAGAAGATCTCAAAATATTTTACAAAGATGAGGGGATACGGGGACAGAGTTTTAAAGTTGAGCTACTTGGAGAAGCAATAGACTGCCTGCTCCTGGCTGTTTTACAATATATAGGGGTTAAAATGTGTAGGGTTAATTTTTACTTAGGAACTGCTCATCTCGATCACAGAAATTCTAGAAATATCAGAGTATAAATTTTTTTTTTTTTTTTTTTTTTTTGAGATAAAAGACATCCTCTGGCAAGATATTTTCCTTTGGGATACATTAATATTTAAGAGAGAGACAGTGGGACAAACCTGTTTTACATGCCTTCATTTTAAGACTAAAACTACACCTCCTAAGAGCAAGCACTCAGCAAGAGAAAAGTGAACAAAAGCCTCAGGTTTCTACAGCCTTTTACAATGCATTGTGGGTTTTTTACAAGGTAAATCAGTTCTGTCCTCTGATTGCACCTTCCCTCCCTTTCTCAAATCAAATTTTAGGGATTGATTTTTTTCTTTTAAGCTTTGTGCTTTTCTGCTTAGCTTGACTTTGTTATTCTTTGATTGATGTTAGGCTGAGGCATTCATTTGATATGTTTGTGGTAAGCTAGTAGTATGAATTACTAGCAGGGAATACAGAAGTTTTTAATCATTTTGAAATATTCCATGTCAATTTATGGGGTAAGATTTAACATCAGATTGCTTATTGAGTGTATAATTTGAGAGAGCCTCTCTACTGTCAAACATACTAGCAGTCTCTGCATTATCTTGATCCTTAAAGAAGAGATTTCCTGACTTTCTCTAGACGATCCAGGGATTTTGAGAAGTTATTTCATACCAGCCTTAAGCAAAATGGCAACTTCTAAAAAACCCCCATGTGTGGTATTGAGAAAGGAATATGAAATTCAGGAGAAAAAATAACGAACCAAATTTCCTCATTACAGTTTTCCTGCTTCTGTGAGCCTCCACCTTTGTTCCTGTCTGTTTTAACAGAAAATTACTTTTTTTTTTTGTCAGTTTTACATGGACTTGCAAATTGTTTTTGCATTTTAGGTGCTATGTAACGTAAATTCCATTCCACTTATAAGACAAAAAGAAAAGATACATGACTAATAGCATACACGTTACTGTAAAACAATATGCTTTATCTGCATGTTGCCATCACAAGGCATATTTTGCAGTAAAATTAATTCTCCACTCACCCTCATTATTGCATTTAAATAAGCTCATCTTCTTTTCTTCATTTGTGTTCTCTCCAGCTTTTTCTGGAAGCAGAGGTAAGGGCTGGAGAAGAGAAAGACTACGAGACAAAAAAGTTACTTCAGTTTTGGGAACTTTCAGATGCTTTATTTTTTTGAGTGTTAGTCTGGCTTCAGTCTAGCATACTAGACTTCATAAACTGAGATAAATCAAATGCACATTTTGTATTGTATATGCTTTATATTGATTAACAGTAAAGATGAAATGAGCTCTTCTTGGACAAAGCAGAAGTTTGAGAAGCGGTGGTCACAGGTTTCAGGGAGGGAACTTGTGATTGGATATGGGAAAGGAAAATTCACCCTGTGGGTTGTCAAACGCTGGAGCAGGCTACCCAGAGAGGCTGTGGAATCTCTGACTTTGGAGATGCTCAAAACTTGGCTGAACATGACTCTACTTTGAGGAGGGAGTTGAACCAGGTGACATCTAGAGGCCTATTCTGGCCAAATTTACTCACAATCCTGTGTTGCTTTGTTGCTGATCCATGTTTGAGTCATAACTTGTCCTATCTAATATTAGAATTCATAGTAGTTCTACCTAATATTAGGATTCATAATAGTCAGTGCAAAAGGAAAGCACTGTTGTCAGATTAGAAATGTTTTTAAATCTTAAATTTGTCTTCAGGTTGTTTCAGTGACACATTTTTCGGATTGTCCTGAGGTAATTCAACCAGGTGATCAGGCCAGTCAGCATGGGTTTATGAAAGACAGGTCCTGCTTGACTAACCTGGTATCCTTCTATGACAAGGTGATGCACTTAGTGGATTAAGGAAAGGCTGTGGATGTTGTCTTCCTGGACTTCAGAAAAACCTTTGACACTGTTTCCCACAGCATCCTCCTGGAGAAACTGGCTGCCCGTGATTTGGGTGGGTGTGTTCTGTGCTGGACAAAGAACTGGCTGAACGGCTGAGCGCAGAGAGTGGTGGTGAAAGGCGTTAGAGCCAGCTGGTGGCGATCATGAGTGGTGTCCCCCAGGGCTCAGGGTAGGGATCTAGAGAACGAGTCTTGTGAGGAGCAGCTGAGGGAACTGGGATTGTTTAACCTGGAGAAGAGGAGGCTGAAGGGAGACCTTATCACTCTCTAAAGCTGCCTGAAAGGAGGTTGTAGTCAGGTGGGTGTCAGCCTCTTCTCCCAAGTAACAGGCAATAGGACAAGGGGAAATGGCCTCAAGTTGCGCGCCAGGGGAGGTTTATTTTGGATATTAGGAAAAAATTTCTTTCGTGAAAGAGTGGTCAGGCATTGGAACAGGCTGCCCAGGGAAGTGGTGGAGTCACCATCCCTGGACGTGTTTAAAAGACGTGTAGATGTGCTTAGGGACATGGTTTCATGGTGGACTTGACAGTGTTAGGTTAATGGTTGGACTGGGTGATCTTGATGGTCTCCTCCAACGTAAATGATTCTGTGATTCTGTAATACATTTCTATGATTCTAATGTACATCAACAGAGAATTCAATTTCTTCACACAAAATAGTATCAAGAAAGAATATTACTATCTTCTGATCTTATCAGTTTGTTATCACCATAACTGATTGGTTTCTAATGCACTGTTTGTATTTCTTACTACTACTACCACTACTTATATCTGCATTTGAAGACAGGTATCAGGTTTGGAATTGTCATCCTTATAATAAATTGAGATCTAGATACATGACTTGAGAGGTGACTTGCTTGCCGATAAAAACTGATCTGGTCATGACTTTTTTTTTTGATATGTATGAATTTTAAAGTGTTGCAGTTCAGGACTGTGATGCTGTGTCCTTTTCAATTCCCAAGGGAATACTGCAGGCATATATACTGTTTCAACAAGAGGTTTGTTCATGATCTTCTACATGTCACTTCTGATATCTTGTCTCAAATTACTAAAAGCATGAAACCTGTATTCTGGGAATTGATGCTTGTTAGGCATTTTATAAATGTATACAAAAGCAGTATTAGAAGATTTGTATTTTTTCTTTTGCTGTGCTTGTCCTGAAATTTAAGTACTGGAAACTGAGGTATGCGTGGCTGGCACAGTGTAGTGCCATGCATATATGCTCACTCTGCCTGTGAGGCAACTTCGGTACTAGAACCAGTATAGCCACATTAAATTAGCACTAATTAGCCCTGCTGAGAAACAGGCTATATTAGTTCACTTGTAACAACAGTAGTCAGCATTCACTTACAGACGTGAGAAACAGAAGTTTTAAAAAAGGCATTGTTTCTGGCAGAATGTTGTCCTGGATCTTCTAAAGATGTGTTTGTTTTTTTTTTTTCTCTATACATATGTGTATTTTTTTTTTGGAATGTTATAACTGTTACATGCAAACTTAAAATTGTTTTTTAAACTGGTGTTTGCACGTCTATAGTCTTATTTCTAAAGAATGAGAATTTCCTAAACCTGTTGTTGTGTCAATGAAATGCAGGTGGCGTACTTGATTATTACATTTCAGTAAGACTCATATTCTCCATGCATTAAAATACACATTCTAAAATAAACCATATCTCTTTGGAGCAATTTTGATCTTATCTCTAAAGCGTACATATGTACTTCTTGTAGGCAGAAGTCAATTCATCCAGGAAGTCTGATGCTGGACCCTCAAACACGTCAGGATTGAACCACTCTGCTGCTTCGCGTGAGCCCCAGCAGGGTGGTGCAGCTAGAGCATTCCAGGATCCAACGAGTTCAACGGTATGGTCCGTCTTTGAGCTTTACCAGCGCAAGTACAGGCATAGTCCAAACATGAAATCGGTACTATTAAGCTGATAGGGGGCTTCGTTAAGAGTATGTAGTTCATACATTTTGTCTAGAGCTTCTGCGTAATTTTATATAAAGCCTATATGTATAATTCAGCATAGTATTTGCTGAAGCACTTTTAGAAATGGCAATCTCCTTGCTTTCACTTTCTTCTCTTAAGAACAATAAATAATGTTCTTTTAGCAGTTCCTGTTCCCAGTAGTTTCTTTAATGCATGGGTTAACAGTTCAATAAAATATGACGGTGTGTGAGGTACTACAGTTTATCTTCTGCGTAATATACCACAGGTTTTTGCAATAGAGTTCTTAGCCAGAGGCAAAAAATGTTTCAGTGATAATTTGTAGCTTCTAAATATTTATTAAGAATATCTGCCTGCTTTTTATAACCTTTTAAGTAAATGTGACTAAAATAATCCCACCATTTGAGGTATGACAGTTATGTTTTAATACTGCTAGGTGTGTAGGGCTTACCTAAGGGTTTCAGAAGTGACCGAGGCCTGGTGGTGGGCCAAGGCAGCTGCTGTTAACGACTGTGGCAAATGCAATCTAAATTCACTGATAAACTGCAGACAAATCCCAGCTAAGCTGTCTTTTTTAGAGAGGATGGGGCTGCAGATCATTTAAAAAAACCTGAAACATGTCAAATAACGTCAGACCATCTGTTGCGTGTTTGCAACATATTTTCAAGCTATGTAGAAATATAAACATGCTAATAGCATACTTTTTCCCCACAATAAGGATTTTTCCAGATTGTTTCGGATTTAATAAACTATTTTATTTTATTCTTCTTATTACAAATCCTGGCTAATATAGTAGAACTAGCCAAAATACCAAGGCATTGCTGGCATTTTCTTGAGGCAAAAGAGACTGATTTTTTTGATTAATTCTATTTCTAAGAAATTTGTTTTAATAAATTATGCTGAATTAATAAGTAATGTTTAACTTGATTTTCAGCAGAACAGTCCTATATAAAATGAGACCTTTAAACATATAAATGTATGTAAAAATACTGGTATGTGATAAACTGTAAATGATGAAAAGTGAATTCATGTTTTAAGAGATCAGACTGTTGTGATTATTAGTTTGAGTTTGAAGCAATACCTGTGTTTCTGAGCTGCCACATTTTGAGTGTTAGGAATTTTCTGGAGCCACTGGAGAGGAAAAACTTAGAGCCACACAGTGGAAGAAAATGTGTAACAGGAAAGACTATTTTGAGCTTTCTATTTTTGTGTTCCTGTTCATGTGAAAGTTAGTAGAAGTCTTCTCAAAGTAGGGGGCCGGAGGCCTTCATCTGCTAAAGGAGTGAAACAGTATCCATGCAAACCTCAGACTCATTCTGCTCAGTTGGGCTTCTTGCATGTGTAAAACCAGTTTGAGTTAGTTCTAGTTGTGTAAAGACCTAATTCTACCTTACGAAGTTGTGTTAGATGTGGGCAACGTCAAAACTGTTCTTTTTCTCTTCTTGGGTAAAATGTTTACCACTCGCTTTACAAATATGTGTTTAGTTAAACACTGTTGTAGAAAATTTGCTGTTGTGAACTTGAGATTTATGCCCTTTGAGAATAAAAAGGGCAGAAGTAGTCCCTACGCTGAATCCTTTTATTAGCTTGTGTAACTCCTTCTGGTATAGTGGATTTAATGTGCCTGACTGAAGTTATGGGACCTTGTGTACTACTTCACAATACAGAGGAATAAAATAGTGATAATCATGCAGGAAGAACAGTGTCACCTTTCTTCTGCACTTGGAGCAGTTGCAACCAGTCTTCATTTTTAAACATGATGGTACAAGGGTGCTAAGGAAAGAGTGTATCTGAAGGTGAAGAGGAGGGACTCGGTAGGCTATGTTTTACTGTGGGAAGACCAATCTACAGACTGCTTCATGGGCGAGTTTGTTCTTTCTGGCATCAATTGTCTGTTCCATGATTTTTACCTTTAAGCTGCTTGAAAGGACGGAGATATTTGCAGTGAATGAACAGCAGGACAATTCTGAGTACAGTGATGGCCTTCCTGGGATAGGTTTAACTGAATTCTTGTGTGAAGAGTGCACACACACAATGGGTCTCTGGCGTGGAATCGCTTAGAGTCTGTTTCCTCTGTTCCACACCGGGCCTTATTCCTGAAGAGAGAATTTCTCATTCCTTCAGAAGAAAAGATATTTTGAATTAACTTTCTCTTCTGTCAGCTTTCACTTAGAAAAAGGAATATAGCCTCACTGACTAAAGAAGCACCAGGAGTTAGAGTATTTCAGTAAAGAATATTTTTTTAGATCTCCAAACTCAGTTTGAAATACTAGTTTGTGTTTTGGTAATGGCAGTTGTTATATTAACAGCAGTGCTATCATAGTGTGAACTGTTGTGTTATTCAGTACTTCAGTCTTACAGATTTTTGCCTGTGAAGAGACTGATTGTGTGATGGAGTTGTTGCGTGGGTGCGTTTGTCCATACTGTTGGAGAGGTGCACTCAGCATTCTTGACTTCTGGGCTGTCGCTGCCTGACCTCTTCAAGGTCACTTCCCTCTCTCCCCACCCTCTATTCTCATTTTACCAGACCAACAGCCAGTATCTTGATGCCACGCTTAGAGTTACTACAGTGTCCGCTTTGGTCTGCTCTCTAGCTGAGGACGAAATACCTTCCCAGTGCAATGTTGAATATGTATTTCCTGAGTCTCTGCTGGTTAAAAGCAGACAGAGTGATAGAGGTGGTCTCTCCAGCGCAGCATGGATGATCGTTCTGTGGATCCGTGATGGCCCATCCTCCAGCACAGCAGGTGATGGTGAAGATGACTTTTTGCCATGTTTTTCATCAAGACCTGCTTGTTGGTTGTTCCCATTCATAGCCTTGTTAGCAATGGCTGAAGTGTGAAACACTAGTGCAAGTTGCACACTAGCTGTTAGAATTATGTGCATCTGTATTATTAGAGAATATTTATCAGGTATTTAAATGCCTTATCTTTGAGGGAAGAAAAAGAAGGTGAGGGGGATGATTCTTAGACCAGTGATAGTTGCTTCCCAGGAGAATTTGTCGTAACAATATTGTCAAGGTTTGCATGTGCAAGGCGTGGGCAGCATGAGAACCACAAAATGCACTGCCATGGAGACTCTGGAAAATGCTGTCACAGCAGCTTGGGTAAAAGGATACAGAGCTGCAAAGAACAGGCTTTAAGCATTATTAGGGGTAGAACAACAGGCTACCTAAAGTGTTATGCAGCATAGTACTTGTGAGGAGTCTGAAGCCAGTGCAGAGTGGACTTACAAAACACCTCTGACTAGGCTACTTCTGTCTATATATATACTTTTTTTTTTAAATTTGTAGCAGCTGTTGGTATCTACCTGTCTGAGTATTCGCACTGCAAGCACGGCACTGCTGGAAGTTGGCTTGATAGAAGTAATTGCCATTAGCATTAAGAAAATGAGATTCTTCCACATCTGAGCAAAAGAATGTTTTTGAATTAGTATGTTGTAGATACTCAGGTTGGACCCTGGTCCATATTAAGTCATCTACTATCCCAGTGGTCACCTAAATACAGGTACCAAAGCTCTCATCACAGTCCGTGGGAACTAGAGAGCATTGCAGCTTGCTGAGCAGCAGAGGCTGGTAGGCTGCATTGCTCTGTCTGTCCCCCTGACTGCACTGACTAAATCCATGTGGACTGTTATGGGAGCCTGAACTCCTACCATGCCTGTAGCAACCTACGTCTAGTGTATTGATCTGGAACAATGTCCCACTTTGCTTATAGTTGGTGAATAGAATTATAATTCTTATCAAGCATCAAAGCGACAAGCTAAAAACTGTGATTAGACTTTTTTCTGATAACCTGGGAGTATGTTAAACCTCAGTACACCTGTTATTAAATGATATATTATAGTAATGTCCTGCAATAATATACTGGCCAGATGAAGCGTTGTAATGAGGTGTGATGAAATAGAGAGTGTAACTGAAGTCAGCTAATCTTGAACTGAAGAGGGAGGTTTCTGTGAGAAAATGAGGCTATGTTCTGATATATGAGATTTATAGAAGCCCTTATTTTTAATCACGTTCTGAATGATATATTGTTAAGAAGTGTTTCCTTTTATTGCTAAGCTGTGTCTTAAGTTTTGCAATACTACAGCAACAATTTTAAATGTCTTAGCAATCAGGAGTACTTGGCCCAACTTCAGTTCATTAAAGAATAAGACATATTTCTTACTAGCCTTTAGGCCATGCTGTGTCAAACTTTAGCTGTTCTTCAGTAGGATAAACAAATATTTCACCTTTCCTTCTATCTTGCTATTTCTGTATCTCACTGAGATCATGAGTATAACTGAAAGAGGTTTCAGTAACTCAGAGGATTGATAAAGTTTTACATTCCTAGAGTTTGCTATACTTTTAAAACATCCCTTCCAAGATCATTATTTAATACTTCCAGGATTTGCATAAAAAAATGTAAAATAACAGCCTGGAGACTGAAGTGATACAATGAATGCTACCATTCTTCAGTAGACTGAACATAGTGTAGATTTCCTTACTTGCATTTTGCTGTATGACAGAACTTTTTGTTAATTCTAATATATGTACCTTTTACAAAACTAGCCTTATGTATCAAACTCACATGTCCTTGGAGCAAAGTTTTCTAACAGTCTTAATAATTTCAGAAGCTGCAGAGATAACATGACACATGAAGTGCATATTCAATGACTGTAAAGATCAGATGCTAAAGGTGGCTGCTACAATGTAGCTTTTATTAAATATTTTTATTTTTAGTCTATTAAATATTCATCCCTGGCATTTTCAGTATGGTTTGGCAGAAAATGAGTTAAAATTGGATGGAAATTGTGTCATATGAGGTGTTGTGTAAGTCTAAAAATCTTCACATTTTTACCAAAGAAGAATTTAAAAACTTGCCGTAAGTGAAGACAAGAAGTTTATGATTTTTTAAAATTTATAATACAGTCCATCTGCCATTTTTTGGATTCTTAATAAATTCTAAAATAAATTTTAAATAAATTATTGTCTTGAAACAAAAAAATCTTTATCTAGATTTATGTATTATTTAAGATACACTGGTCCCAAATTTATATCGGTTAATGATCACTCGTTTCTTACCTAGCTGGCTTCTGCATGTCTGCAAATACTTGGTCATTGATTATGTTGGGAATCCCAAAGCAGTGAATTAGCTCAGCTTTGGGTAAAGCACTCGGTCTTCTGCTGCTCTGATGCATCTATAGAATTTCCTTAAAAAAAAAAAGTTTAAAGCTTTGCAATTATCAGTGAGGTTTCTCTTGAATTACAGCTCCGTTCAAGTCAGTGTATGGCACCTTGTCTCATTCAGAACAGGGTCTTTCTGTTTTGTTTTTAAAAATTTGCAGTGTTGGAAAGAAACCCAGGTGTCTGGCAGCCAGTGCTGGTTACTTTGATTAGTAAATATGAAGGATCAGGAATATTTCTAGACTTTTTTTTATTCCTTTTTTAAAAGCTACTTGAAGAAGAATAACACTTTACCTGCTGAATTTGCAGTTCTTGCTTCCTGAGTTCGCTTCTCTCCCTCTCCCTTTCTGAAAGAGGGGAATGTAGATGAATCTAGGAACTTTGTTTTCAAAGGCTCAGCTTCCCAAAGTCTTTATTTTCCTTGGCATGAGCAGCTTTCAAGTGGGCTCAGTATGAAGCAGACTGACTTTCTTCTGCAGTGTAGTGGAAATCGTGGCAAGCTGCTGGTGGTGTTCTTGGCTGTCTCTGCTGATAACATAAACCTTTTAAAAACATTTTTCTTTGAAGCTACCCAAGCTACTTGCTTGCTTAGGCAAGAAACCTGTGTAAACAGACAGGTTGTCAAATGTGGTGAGTAATTACATCAGTACTGCCTTGCTGATAATAAAACAGTGGGAAATACCATTGAGGAGGAGGTAGGAAAGGAAGGTCTCTGCCCTGGGCTGGTCGTATTGCTGACAGCGTGAAAATTTGGAGATTCTTCTCCCACATGCAGAGTACGTGTTCAAAGGGTCATGGAACCAAGTACTGCTTACTGTCTTGTGGATCATCAAACCTGATACCCAGTTGAGGACATTCCCTGTCTGGCCATGCAGAAAGGATCTCTTTTGTGGATACAGCAGCTGGCCATAGCAGTGCTTAGGGTTATGGATATTGTGTCCATTAAAAAGCTTTTGCTTGGAAGCAAATGTAAAATGTCCAGAATTGTAGTTTTAGCTGCTGTAATGATAATCAGTCTTTTGACGGGACCAGGGGGAACCTAACTCTGGAGACAGAGCTGTGGGGTGCTTTAAGCAGCAATACCTGCGCACTGTTCCGAGAAGTGAAAAGAAGACTTCAAAAAATGAACTTTTTGTGAGAATTACTTTTTTTTTTAAACACTTTAAATTTTAACCTTGTTGTAATGTTTATTTCCAGCAGCTGGGCTGCATCACTATTTTTAGTATTAAAACGTCAGAAGTTTGAACCTTTTAGTGATGCAAGCAGGATTAGGCCTGTGGAGTATCAGAACCCATAGTTTCAGTCTTGCAGACTGAAAAATTATTTTATTTTGCGTAATACTCTCCTGACCTGAACATCGGTTGTCAATGTTTATTTTTTTACAGCATAGAATGGTAGACCGGTGCTTGACCAGTAGAGGGCAATAGGTATGTGCATGCACATGTGCAATGCTTAATAATTCCAATCAATTAGGTGTTTTGTGTTCAGGATTTTTGTTTTTCACCAGCATCGTTGGTGATGATGAGGACAGACTTTTGGACTCAGCTGTCCACAGGGAGCAGCACAGCCTTGCTTAATTACAGTTCCCTTGACTTCTCTCCTTCTTTTCTTGCACTCCCCAACTCATTTCCCCTTCAGTATAGGTGACATTACAAATCCTCAGAGACTTAACTATCTGGAAGATTATTAAAGATTTCTTGAGCTGCAAAGAGTTAAGCAAATCCTAGACAAAGATATTTGAAACCTCTTGATTTGGAACCAATCTAGAATTCAAATATTATCTGACAGACTTTCTTCAGACTTTTCTTGTCCTTATAACTGCTGATTTGCGGCTTGAAATAGACTTCTCAAGATAGCCATCATTTTCGTCCCTAAGCTATAACAATCTCATAATTACTAGTGACATGTATTGTCAGGCTTTCAGGTATTAGCAATTGTCTGAAAAGTACATTTGAGTCCTCATGATTTTATTCCTTGCTAATCTTACGCATTGTCTTACCTCACAAGTCTTCATGTTTCCTTTTTAGTCTGAAACTCAGAACAGCAGTGCAGAAGCCAGTCAAGAGCACACTCTGGCTGTGTCCACTAACAGGTCGATGAGTCCTCGGCAGCGCCGTGCCCAGCAGCAGAGTCAGAGACGGGCTCCGTCTTCAACTGACTTTAATCGTGTACAGCAACCAAGAGTCAACATGAACCACACTGGATCCACTGTTCTGATTGTTCTTCTGACTTTTGCATTGGCAGCTCTTATATTTCGTAGAATATGTTTGGCTAACGAGTATATATTTGAGTTGTAAGGTTGTTTGTCTTAACAGCAGTGACTTGAATGCTTCATTGAACGTTCTGTGCTGGGTATGACATGAGAACTGTTTACAAAGATTACCTTTTGTATTTACGCTTAAGTCCTTATGAATGTTAATGTACGTACAGATACATTGCTTGTAAGAAAAGCAAAGTCGGATATTTGATGACAAGTGTTAACTGAGTGCCCACTAGATGCTTGGAGAAACAGTGCAGTGGAGTAGTAACATTAAGGCATGTGGGAGGGGAGTCAATATGAGTAATTTATCAACTGGAAAAACGCAATTTAAAGTGGTTGATTCACTTTTTATGGAATGTAAATGCAATTAATCTTCCCATCTAAGGTAGTATAAGGTTTGACGTTGGAGAAGGGATTATAAAATGAAACACTGCTGTGTGTTTGTGTCCAGTGAACTCTTTAATTTAGGGGGGGATACGGTTTTGTAACCACTGTTATTTACCATGACACATTTCTAGAGGGGGAACACATATGAATTGGTTGTGATGCTGCTTTATCTGTGTCAAAGGGGGAAGGGAGTAGTGGAGGAAAGAAGGGGCCAGAAAACTACTTGCATTATTTTGCATTATTTTGATTTTTTTCTTTTCGAAGAAAGATTGGATAATGTTTTGCAAGATTTTAATGTCCTCTTCTAATACTCTCAATTGTATATCTTGGTTTTTTTTAAATTTGAAGATATAAGATTTGATGATATAAAACATGTCTATTCTTGCAATAGTTATAAATATGTAATATAATTATTTACCCAGAGCTATTGTCTTTTAATTATACCAGAAATATACATTATGTGTTAAACTGAATGTTTCATATGTGGTTTTATTTACTAAAGAAAATTTAAACCTTATTCTACTTAAACTATCATATATATGAACATGTTTAAGAGAAGTATTTATTAAAACCTTGGTAGTAATAAAGAGTTTCAAGTCAGTCTTTATGTTTAAAGTATCACATGGCCTTTTGTTTGGTTAGGTTTTTTGTTTTTTTTTTTTTAAACCTAAAATTAAAATTGGACCTAGAGGCTTTCTGCATTATTAGTTTATTAAAAAAAATAAAGAATTGGTAGTGTTCATGAGTGCTGTGAAATCACAGACACAAGCAATAGGCCTACAATTGTTATAGTTTTGAGAGATTTTACTGGTGAATGTTTAAGCAGTGAAATGGAAGAAAGCAATCAGTGGGATAATTTTCCTGTTGTAATATTGTTTGGATTTAGATGTATTCTAGCGTGATTTCAAAGACAGTGAAATCCTGCTAACTTTCATTTCATTGCTGTCAAACATGATAGCACTGACTGAAGTGAGATTCTCGTCTTGCTTCTCAGCAAGTATTTATCAGTCTACCTACAGCTTTCCTAAATTTTGTTACATATTGTATGTATTAGTGTTTTGAAACACTAAGTAGCTATAACTACTTGTAAAGTAAAGAAAGCCCATTGTGTGTTTAAGGGGGATGTGGAAATTAAAAAAACCTGAAAAACCAAGTTCTCTTTTAGCACTTCTTGTGGATTGTTGATAATCTTGTTTGCGGGTACAGTGGAGCAAATATAAAAAAATAGTTTTCTTAAGAAGTTCAGACAAAAGTAGGTAGTTTGTTCAGCCATTACTTACTCGGCTGCAGAACAGTTTACTGTCCATTTATTAATTGGTGTGTTTTTACGTAATTTGTATATTTATTTCATTGGAAATTAAAAAACAACCAACACAAAACCCGAAAAAATCCACACCAAAACCGAAAAAACCCTCTCCAGATCCTGTAGTCTCTAACACAGAAGTACTGCGTTTGCTGGTTGGTACGTTGCTTGAATACCTGTCCGGTTCAAGTATTTCACACCTGGACTCACAGGAGAGAGTTCCGCAAGAGGTCTGACTCGAAAGACAGTTTTGCTGGTTTTTGAGCTGCTTGCTCCTTTGGAAGCTTCGCTCTAAAAGTGCTTTTCTTTTCCTGGAACCTCCCTGCTGTGCCAAGCAAACTTTTGCTCTCGTGCCTGTACCACACGCTGGCTGTCAGCTGAGCCTTCTGCAGAGAGGCCGTCTGCGTTGCCCTTTGAATGGGCTACGAGAAAATAAGCTTCGAGTGGTTTCTGAAAACAGCCTCTTCCTTCTGGTTAAAGAAATAGCTGCTTTTAGCCTTTCATTTTTTATTTCAGTCCCTTTTTTAATAAAATGCCTGGTGGTGCAGATACCTATTTGAAAAAATAAATATTAATGGCAACTTTATTTATGTAGAGTTGATTGCTTGTATAGGTACTTTGGGGGTTACTGTGTTTTCTGTTGTAAGTTAACAGTAAATAAAGTCACCATTTTCAGAGCAAATAGCTCATCTTTTATCTTCAGCAGCGTAAGGAGCCAGACTAAATCAGAAAACAAAATTTCAACTGCTATACGACCATCAAAATACATACATTTTATAGCGATATGCATGTCTGAAACATGGCACAGGCACTTCCCAGCTGATAAAAATGCCATGCGAAGGAACAGAAAATCTGGGAAGCCTAATGAAAAGGGACAGCCCGGTTTTACACGGTCTGACAGGAAGATAGCATTGCCCTGAGATTAGGGGATTGAGCAAAAAGCCGGCGTGCAGAATTGTGGGTTTTTATATAATGGCTTTAGTAAATATCCTTTAGGACCCAGTGGAGATGTTTGGTGAGGCAAACTTCACCAGTAATCGCCAATCGTTAAGCGCTGGTGAGGGAGAAGCATTGGGTGAGGAGCCCCTGAAAGCCTGTCGAAAGCATCACGTCGGGAAAGCGGCGTTCCTGCCGCCCATCTCCGACGAGCGCACGCCGCTGGAATTAGAGTCGATTCAATGTTCAAACCCGGCGGGACCTGTGCTGCAGGAGGTTACTGGAGTGCAGAGTGCCCCACTCCGCTTTCCAGCAAGATGCTTTATTTTGCAAAACTCCTTTTATTGATCTTTTGCTTAGTTCTTCTTGTGGAAAGCCGAAAACACAGGAGGAGGAGGTGGACGAGCCAGCTGGAGGTGCAGAGGGCGAGGTAAGGGTTACTAAAACACGTATGTTTCTCTTCCTGTAGTGTATAAATGCGTTGCTACGGAGGCATAAAAATCTGCTCTGTCATTGGCTTTGTGTGTGTTGTATGTGCAAACAGCTTTATAGATAACGTTTTTTGAATAGTGTCAGATACTATATTCAGTTTTAACTGTAAATGGACACATTTAATGATAATTGACTCTCAGTGAGGCAGGTTTTGCAGAGAAGTTGACCGCTTCAGCTTGCTAAAAATATTCTTAGCCCCATGTGTGGCTCACGGAGAGGATTCAGAGAAGTTGCGATTAGCAGAGGTGTTCAAATCTGCGTGTTGTTCCAGCACTGTTTCAAGAGCAGGTTATTCATCCTGCTTGCTGGGGTGTCTTTGCTAGTTATAGTCGCATGGATTTGCGTGTTGTTTTCTAACAGTCTGAGGCGGGGGTGTTGGTTAGTACGGGTGGTATTAATTAATAACATATAAATCCCAGGAAGTTACCCAGGGATTGTAAAATCAAAAATGTATTTTGAAGAAATACATGGAAAATTTACAAAAACCTGTAAAGTCAAGCAAAGGCACAAGAAAGAGTTAAAGGTCTTAGTAAAGTTTATTAGATTTACTGTTGCTGAGATTTGACCGGAGGTTTACATGGGAAAAGATAATCTTCCAAACCTGCCAGACAGTCCAAAGTATGTTATCCTTTTTTGCAGTTATGTCATCCAGTGGCAATTATATCTTACAAGATTGTTTGTTGTTTGAAGGGCTCAAAAATAAAATTGGGTTAATCCACCTTACTAAATGGCTTCGCTACGGCTGTAAACCTTCATCTTTTTGTTTATTTTGTTGGGTTTCTCGGTCAAAGCTTTTATAAGGAGCATCGTTACTTGAACGTTTTACAAAGAAAAGTTGTGATGTAATTGACAGCAAAGAATACCTAATATGCTCTCAGATTTATACTACTTATTGAAAAATACAGTAGCATATGCTTTTAGTGACAGAGATGTTGTAAAGCTGAAACAGCTAGAGCCTGAAATCCTAAAGCCAGCTGAAGTTTTGCCACCGATTTCCACAGAATCTCCATTATTGAGTGAGGTCTTTCACTTCACTCTGAATATTTTTCCAAGTCTATGTTCTGGGAAATACAGTGGATTCAACGGTAGCATTTTCCTGCAAACCATGGACGTGTAGTAGAGATCATCTACTTTGAAGTAATAAATTAGTATGAATCTTAATTTTAAATGTGACTTTATCCAAAAGTGGTGCCATTCTCTGGGTTAAGCAGTTGTCTGAATATTTTGTACTTTGTGTAAACATAGCAAAAATAATTTACAATTTCTACAGTGCCCTTGTTTTTGTGAGGTTGTGATAGAGTGGAAATCAAAACACTGCTAAAGTTATTTATATAGATGAATTTACTGTGAAGAATGACTGATACTATTTAGTTTCCTGTGAAATAATGATTTTAACGAACAGTTTTCCAGCCAGGTCAAACCTGAGGAACTGTATGTCTTTTATATATATATGTTTACATCTTCTGTGCAAACAATGTACTTCTTTAAATGTGTATAAAAGTAAGTATTAGGGGCTATTGAATGTGAATGACATTTTGAATACAGAGAATTCTGCAATATTGCAAAAAAAGAGTGAACGATGCAATGACACTGATATCTTAAATTTCCAGTTACATATTAAAAATACAGTTGTGTCTAAACCAGCAATGAGTAGTGGGCTCTTCTAGTAAAAAGGAAATTAAAACCAGTTCCTATGCTGGTTTTCTAATGACACAAGAGAAATGAAAACAGTGTCCTTTTGAATAACTGCAGCACATTTTCTGCTGAGTATTTCCCTTGCTGACTTACCATAAGAAATGCAGTAAATGTGTTTTACAGTAGAAGTATTAGCCAGGAGAGGATTTTCCCTGTGTTTGGGAATCTACATTTGATTGTGTCCTTTGAGGTGACACATCAACTTGACCTAAAGATCCTTGTATTGATTTCCAGAAGGCAGCTTGGGTTGTGCGAGCGCAGAGCACCTTCAGTTCTGTAGTTCGTTGCCGAGTGTTGCGTAGAGGT